AATGCAGGAATGGCAGATCAATCGCTGGATTTAAAGATGCATATAGCTTGTTTATTCACATTCTTGAACCAATAAAATCTCACATGGCGTTACAAGGAAGGGAAGTAGTAATGAAGCCGATTGTAAAGCTTGAATTGTTTACAGGTAGTTCCTTTGCAATGAGGTTAACTTAATGGCTTTTTGGAGGGGGAAATTGTGTTCTTCTTGTTTGACTGTTTCATTGTGTTTTATGGTAGGTTATGTTTTTAAACAGGGACAGTCTGTAAGGATACACAAAGAACTCAGTGAGTTTGACCCAGTGGCTTTGTACAATGATGTGAACCTTGTATCCGGCATCAAGGAGCAGTTTTAATGGGTTACACACTTTCCTTACCCAGGGTTTGCTAACTACAAGGTTGACAATGTGCAGAGAGTCATGGCCATGGAGACGTTTATGGGAGTTAATGAGGTCAAAATCAAGGCAAAAAAGCTACCAATGTATATGCCTAGGAGGAAGGGAATTATAACATAGTTGTAAGCAAGAAATTAATAGGGCTGTGCAAAGCTTCGGGTGGTGATTTGATTCGGGGGAGATTCGGTGGCCGAATCTCCAAATCCAAATCAAATCAGGGGACCAATTACAAGGTCTGAATAGATTTGAAGCTCTCCCAGATTGATTCGGGACAGTGATTCCAATCACCAAATCGAATTACTGTCCCCCAAATCAGCCGAATCTGAAGCGAATACTAGCTGTTTCACACAGGCCTAGAAATTAGCAGAGCAATTGGTCACCAGAGATGCTTACATACATGGTAGCATAAATATCTCAGTTATACTCAGCCCCAAGCGTAGCTTCAGAGGGGGCACCAGAATGGCACGTGCCATAACACCAACAGCAGCTGGTCTTCTGGGAACTAGTGCTGAGGCAACAGAAGCTCCTGTGTGAGGGGGTACACACTTGGCACCCGCCCCCCCAGGTGCCAACATTTTTAATTATATTTCTGCATATTTTAATGCAAGAAGCAGGAAGAATTGGAATTCCTAGTATGCCCACAAAACCACAGTCTGAGACATGGTGGGATAGTTCATGCAACTTCAATACTGACATAGATGGGTAAAGCTTGTTCAAGCAGGACAGGAATGGAAAGAGGCAGAGGTGTTGCTTTGCATGAAGTGGTGTTGCTTTGCATTGCAGAACACTTGTTCTGAGGTTGAGACCCAAGTGAGAAGTAGACCTACTGAAAGGCTCTGGGAAAACAGGAACAGCAGTGTTATGGCAGGCGTCTGCTACAAACAACTGAGCCAAGAGGAAGATGGGAACAAAGATTTTTTTATTAAAAATTAGCTGAAGCATTCAAATCACAAGCCCCACTGCAACCTGATGAAGGGTATTTGTACCCAAAAGCTTGCAAAGAAGAATTTTTCCAACTATTTAAGTTGGTCTAATAAAACGTATCAGATTTGCCCAAAGAACCTTGTCTGCTTAAACCCAGGGAGGGACTTTAACTACCGTGGTATTTGGTAGAAGAGTAATACAGCAGGGCACAGACTATCCAGCAAGTTGGATTGCACCGGGGGCAACTTTTTGGTACAGATGATGGGGAAAACGAACTTGGTAGGAGGCTATTCTTGGTTTGCTGTTTCCTAATAGGGAGGAATCAGTGGTGAATTTGAAGGTGGAAGGTAGCATGGGTGTCAGGAGCCGGGAAATGATGTTAAGAACAGGAAAAGCAGAGAAAAGTTGAATAAATCATTAGACCTGAGAAAACCAGCTGCTAACAAATTCAGAGAGTCCTAAAGGAAGCAAGTCTAAGGGGAAAAGGGTTGAGGAGAGTTCATCATTCCATTAAAAGACAATATTAATTGCACAAAAACATGTTATTCTAATGCATAGGAAGGATAACAGACATAGAAAAAGACATTAGGCTAAATTATGAGCCCTTCAATGACCAGAAATTAACAGGAACCTGACATAGATGGGAAATTTGGCCATATTATTAAGGAGGAATATGGGCATAGTAGATCCTTTAGGGATTAAATCAAAAAAGCCAGGCACACATTGTTATACAGCTAGCAAGGCACATAAAAGGAAAAGGAAGACCAAGAAAGGGTCAGACCTTTTCTGAAAGGGAGCAGGAAGCTGGTAATGCAGATCAAGGATGGGATGCAAGAAAAACAAGCCGATAAAGCAGTGACACAAAACACCTGCCTACAGACATTATGAGCTTCCTTTTAACTATATAATCTTTTGGCTAATGTCTCCATAAAGCTGACGGCCTAACATTTGTAGGACACCTGGAAGAAGTATATTTTAAAGATTGATGTAAAGGAGGAACAAACAGAAATGTCAGAGACCAGGTCAGGCTATTCTGATAGCAGCTGGCATTTCCATAGTGTACTCTTCTTTTTCAAGGAAGTTTAAAATGGTTCCTTAATTGATCCCTCCTTACTTGTGCAATACAAAGAACTTTCACACTCTTTTATTGACCAGGAAACTAGAATTAAGAAGTAAAACATTTTCAAAACAGTTCACAGCTTGTAGCAGCCCAATTCGAGCCAACTGGGAGAAAGAACCTAGCCTTTATAACTTCCTTATTATGTGACAACTTACATTTTATTCATGAAAATAGGCTGCTTTACATTTTTATGGCCATGATCGCATGTTTGATAGGAAATGTTTAGTCTGCTCATGAGATACTTCCTTATGATGTTACAACTTATATTTTATTGATGAAATTAGGATGCATTATATATTTTATGGCCATCTTTGCATGTTATGCAAGAAATGTCTAGTTTGCTGCTGAGATACGTTATAATAAGAATAACCTCCATATTGGCAAGAGTAGGGATGGAGAAGACAGGCCAGGTTTGTAAAAATATTTAGAGGTGTACAGTTTCCTTTCATGCACAGGCAAGTGAGCCTCTGTTTGCAAACAGACCTAAACTGGCTGAATTTCTACCGGGTACAAACTAAATACGTAAATGAAAAATGCCTTTTGCACACATTAAAAACATTCAGGATGAAATCTTGGCTTCACTGACTTCAGCTTGGCTAGGACACAGCCATAATCTGAGAAATCATACCTCCAGACTGCAAACGCAATATAATGGTGGACAATTTTGACATTAATTGGATCCCACTGGTGAACACAGATCTTCAAAGTATTCATCGTCCTGTAAGTCCCATAACTTTTTATTTAGGGGCCTAGATGGGATCTTCAGGGATGCAAAAGTCTGCCAAAGGATGGTCCATAGATACTTAAGCCACTTTAAGTAAGTCATGTAAGGCCTGTTGTAAGTACCCTCAGATTCCACTCACTTCCTTTGGTTCTCTGGATGCTTGGCTGCTGGTTAAGTCAGGCCTTTTTGAGTGAACCTAGGCTATAGCCAAAATATTGCTCTTTACATCTTATACTGATATATGATAATGATCTTATTGCACACACCTTTTAAGGAGTCCACCGTAGTCATGACTATGACTTTTCCATGGCGGCCCCTTACTAGGAGTCTCAGTTCATTCTGCCTCAACTCACATTAAACTCACAAATATTTTTCTATTGCAAAGGTGTTTTCAGCTTAAGCAGCAGCATGTTCTGGATGGCAGAGTGTGGGATGGGATTTTGCAGTCTATCCTCACTTCTTGAGTAGTCACTTTACTTGTGCAAGCCACCACCCTATCTTCAAATTGGGGATAATACTACCAACAATACAATGTGCTTTGAGATCTAAGAACGAAAGGTGCCATTTCAATTGGTCCAGCATACATGAGGATGGCGCTTGACCTCTGATCTTGACAAACAATGCAGAGACATTTTAAATGAATTGATTTCATCGCATGTATGCAGGGGCAATACAGAGTGATATTCTCAAGACTGACGATTATAGGCCAGAATCTGTCGTTGGTTCTGTTGTCAGATTCAGTTGCTGTGGTGCAAATGTGGAGTCATTCAACAGACATCAGACAATTTCACAGTATTCTCTCTTTGCGGAGAAATTTGGTTTTAAAGCCATTCAATGCAACAGACAGCTCTGAAGGGCCAGATACACACAAAGGGCCAGGTACATACAAAGGCATGAAACACAACAGGAATCAAATGATAACCAAATCAGAAGGAATGTGAAAAAACCCAAACCATGGAGAAAGCAACACAACAGAAGAACCTCCAGATGATCCCCATAAAGGTGGCTAAACATTAAATCTAAGAGCAGCATAAAGATGCATTTCATACTGCATAGCTGACAGCCTGATGATGGTCTAGGCCTTGAACTTGCAGTCCTTACCTAGGCTTCAGTGGAATTATTGCCTAAGTAAACACGGTGGGGATGGGCATGAAAGCCCAGTCATTCAGGTAGGTGGAAACTTTGTTGTTCCATTGCTATCATACACAGAAAAAAAGCTAAGGTACAAAGTAGAGGTGCACTGATATATCAGTCCATATTTTACTGGCACCAATAAAAGGACAATTGACATTATCCGCAATAGGCTTTTTGTGGCCAATGTGGCTGATAATGTCACCATTAATGCTACATGCACATGGCCAGGAATGCAGCTGGGCAGCTTGAAGAGAAGTGTCCAACCGGTAAGTCTGTGGAGGGAAGGGCAATTGAGGCCCCCAGGGTGAGGGAGAGAGTGGGGCAGGGGCAGGCACTGCCCAGGCAGGGTGGGGGGTGGAGCACAGGACGGAGCCAGTCTGGAAGGCCAGGGGGGCATGTGCCTCCTAGATTTGTTTGGGGGGGGGCTGTCTGCTGAGATCTTGGAGCTAAGGCCTGCACCAGTCTTGTACTGGTGGGGAGGGGGCTTGGCTGGGGCTGTGCTTAGGGCAGGTGGGGACGAGGCAGGGGGCAGTGGTGAATTCTGGGGTGACTGTAGCCCAACCCATAGCCCCACTGCCCCCTGGACGAGCCACCCGTGGCTCCATCCCACGCCCTGCCTGGGCAGCGCCTGCCCCTCTCCCTCCCTCATTGTGGGGGCCTTGATCTGGGCCCCCCCCCCCCACACACAGACTTATCGGCCAGACGCTGCTAAGCTGCCAGCTTTTGGATCGGTATCAGCCAAAAAAATCTTTATCAGTGCACCCCTAGTACAAAGATCCATGATCCAAGTCTTGCAACAAGGAGGGGTCTGCGGAGCTCTGCTGTAGCACGAACAACAATTTGCTGTGTGCTTGTAGCAAATAAAGGATTAAGGCTTTGATTTAGCATAGTACATAAGTGAGATACTGCACTGAAGTAGTAGCTCAATGAGATAAGCATGTGCCTAACTTTAAGCATGCAAGTAAAGCATATTGTGAAATGCAGTGCTTTTTATTGCAAACTCCTTTGGATATGGAATTGCCCTTTTTAACTGGTCTGCAAAATATCAGCACAAGAGGGTGCAGTGATTTAACACTAATTGGTGGTCCAGCACAGCTGGGCTCAGTCCTGACATCAGAACTCAAGCGGTTTCCACTTCTGGGCCAAGAATTAGACAATGCATCCTTTAGAAGTGCAGCTGGAACTGCTCTGGGAGCCCACTGATGAAACATGCCATTTGTTTAATGTAAAACTGGCCAATAGAAAGAATGGCAGGTGTTTTTCAAAAGCAGATTTGGGATTGCTCAGAATGAAAGAAGATGCACAAAGAGAAGGCAGCTAGTGCTGCAGGCTCCTGCAACCAAACCATCAAACAAGGTGCTTCACCCGGGAATAAGCCCACAAACATATACCAGTGTTTTCAAACAGCACCAGGGAAGAAGAGGTCTGCCAGTATCTCAGCACCCGCCAGCTCCCAGATATTTGTTGGGTCAGAGTTTCTTGCCTTGTTTAGAAGGGGAAACCATTTTATTCCTGTTGCCCTGGGGTGACTGAGTCCTTTTACCTGTAGCAGAAACAAACAGTGCTCATGGATGGGGTACAGGGATCTTGGGAAAATGTAACAGGACTTTGCCCCACGGTTTCCCCATTAGGCTTTAGGGACTCACTATCAGCAGCTGGGATCTCTTAAGTGCAAGGTGGGTTTTCTGCTGGCCTTTCTGGATCTTGCTCGGGCAGACGGTACCTTGGAGTCTTCCCAATTCCCCAGCTTTGCTTCAAGAGAGGAGAAAAGGACAGACTATGTAAGGTCCCGAATCAAACACTTGTACTTGCACAGCACTTCTGATGATCTGAGTTCCCTTACAACCAGCTGTAGCATTAACCCTACCATCTAAACTAAAATAGGTCAATCAAGGGACCAACCCATGCGAAGACCAAGAAGTCTCCTACAGTGGTAAGAACAGGAGTGTGTCTGGCCTGATTCTAATCCCACATCTTGGACGGGACTGGACTCCAGTAATTAGAGGACGCGACTAGGAAATAAGGACTCCTGGGTCTTTTAGCCACACTTGGTGACCTTTTGCTAAACGTTTGCCCGCTCTATGCCTCAAGTCCCCTATCTCTAAAATCAAGACAGGAGTAATTACCATTCAGAATGAATGCGAGACGGTGCAACAGGGAGCCAGGGGCTCCTCTTACTGTAAAAGAAAGACTGCAGCAGAAAGAGCCCCGGGCAGTTGAACAGGGGTTAGCTGCAGGAGAGAAGGGAGCAACTGCAGCCTGAGCACTAAGCCGTCTGTTAAGATGAGGGGCTGCACCTGCAGTGAGTCAAAAGAGCTGACTGGAAGGGAAGGAGCCCTAAGGCAGAGGGGCGATGTAGCCCTGAACTTTGCTGAGAGAGGAGTTGGTGCCCAAACAAATCCTTGCCTTTCAGAGCCCTTCCTGCAGTTTGTACACTGTTTCCCAGAAGATGTATTACCCCTGAGAGAGTTTAGCTATGAACAAAGGAGCTTGCTCATTCCTCAGCTCCATCTCAGGAGAGGGAAATCCCATCCTGAAACATGCACCAGGTGCAGTTTCATTAAGCAGGCTAGAAGACCTGTCTTCTAGGAAGCTAGTCTTCTTCATATGAGGCCTGTACATAATCCTAATTTCAAGGATATTTGAGAGACTTTGGACATCTAGATGCCAATATAGGCCCAAGAGACCCAGTATTTCTGATTCTGACTGGAAATAGAAAACTTTATCCTCCATCTTGGGCTTTGATCCCTGCTGAGAAACACAGCAGAGATGGTACCGACACCCCAATAAACCTTGTGTATTTGATTCATAAACACTTGGAAGCACTACTTACCTAGAAATTTAGGGTTAATAATTCCTTCATCTTTCAGCAACGGTGTAAATACTGCCTCTTCAGAGCCATCTGAACCTGTGGGGAACAACGGCATTTCAGAAAGAGAGAAGCACTGATTTTGAGGGAATGGTATCGAGTGACAGGCCTGGAGACCTGACGGTGACTCGCTGTGCAGTCTTGACTTTGTTACCCAAGGCAAAATTTGCCAAAGTGGTCTCTGAGTTGAGGTGCCCAACTCCAAACACCTTGGATCTGACTTTCAGGAACTGCTGAGCAGCTGCAGGTCTACCTGATTACGATTGGGGTTGCAGGTGTTCTGCGTCTCTGAGAAAGCAGAGGCTCAAGGAGGGAAGCCCCCCAAATGGGATACCCTTTTAACACTGCAATCTTAACCTCTGCTTCCCCATCTACAGATAATACCCAACTTGCAAAGGGTGTTAACACCTGCAGATGAAAGCACCCGATATCTTGCAATTGCAAATTCTTCTCTTGCTTTTCTCTGGAGGATGGCACGGAAGGGAATAATCAAGGTAAGGCACTCTGCACTTGAATGGGGAACTCCGCATGCAATGCTTTGAATTGAATACACCTGTGAGTAGGGCCCAGGTCTTACCTGAGGGCCTGCATCAAGTCTGAGAAGTTGCTTGCAATTCCTAGGCCAGGTGGTAGGCTGGAGGTCCATCCTCCTTGCCCAGCCCCTGGGAAAATGGTCATGTACCATGTTTGACTGGCAGAAAATTGAGATAATGAGGAGATATCACCACTCACATCTAGACTGCAAAGGAGAGCTGGCGACTCCACCGTCCTGAGCTCCTGTACAAGCCCCCTGTTCTTTTGCTACATTTCCTCTGGAGGGTTGGGCACTGCTGCACTTACGTGCAACGCTGAGGAGCACACACACTTCTCTCTCGTTCAGCAGCTCCGAGGCATAGCAATGCTGGTTCTGGAGCAAATTCTTCACCTGGCCGCTCTCATCTGCCAGCTCAATTTCCCCTGCAACATATAGTGCATAGATAGATGAGGATGGCAGGGCAGGGAGTGGACCGGGGCTGGCTGAAGACTCTCCACATGGCAAAGGAACCAGGGATGGCTTAGAGCAGCACAAACCTTTCAAAACAGCTGGATCTGAGAAGTATGATTCAGGCCCATCTTGGAAATATGATGGTTACTCTGATCTGCGTGGCATCAGCTAAACTCATCAGCAGGTGGCTATAAATAGCCAGTCTGTTAGTGAATTTTGTGTGATTTAACCTGGTAATGGAGCCAGCCCATGGACATCTTTTCAAATGAGAGCTCAGACTGAGACCTGGGCCAATGCATCTGGCTCTATATGGAGACATATGCAAGGACAGTAGGGGTTAGCTCCAGTGGCCTTGTTTTACCTGGATAGCCATGCTTGATCACCATACAGGACTTGGCGATTATAATCTGCAGGAAGTCAGTGTGCACTTTCTGGCTTTGGCTCACACCTTGCAAACTTTGATGACAGACTCCTTCCATAAGCAGATCACCACTGAGTTTGGCCTGGCCTCATGCCAGACTTCACAGCCACATAGTGCCCCGCATTGAACTAAGATCCCCGAAAACCACATATGCCCTCCGTACCTTCACTCTCACGGCCACAGCAGCGCTTGATACTCTCCAGGAGAAGCTGGACCTTACAGTTAATGTTAAAAAGAGCCTGCTCATTCTCTGTTGAAAAAGACATAAATAAAATTAATGGTGACAAGCTGAGAGGTTTGAACAAACCAGATGCGCTGCTTCCGCCTTCCTCCAACTCAAAGCTCTGCATGTGGGCGGTTGCTCACAGCTCTTCCTGTCTCAGCCTCTCTGGACAGAAACCTCTCTAGGACATGGTTAGGTGCTGGCTATTACAGGAAGCCAGCGCTGCTCCATCCTCAAAGCCCACAGTACAAGTGACTACAGACAACAGGGCTAGTAACCATAAGTTTACTCAAAATAACAGAAAATAGGGTTTGTAATACTTTCCTTTTTTTACTGTATCTTCTAGGACTTGCTAATGGACAGCAGCAAAGAGAAGTCACATATAACCCCATGCTAAGATATATGCATGGAGCTGTACTCTCTAATGGCAAGAAGCTATGATAGGGCATGTATTAACAGTGCCACTGCAGACTAGGGAGGCGCTTACTCTTTTTTTGGCCTTGTGCCTCCTTGCACCCAAAGGGCATATATCGATGATAATACACACCCTGCATGAGTTTATTGCACTAGCAAATGCAAATGCTCAACACCATTTAAACCAGATTACATCTGGTTCTGGCCCTGAAAGTTTCACCTTAACTAATCAATTTAAGAGACAGAGTTCTCTAGTCTCAGAATCACTAGGGAGCTAGTGGGCTCAAGTCCCAGAAAATTAGTTCCTAAATTAGTTGCTTTGGAGAATTTTAGGTGCCTTCGACATGTCACCCATAATTTTTTCACCTGGATTCCTTTGGTTTTAGAGTGGGGCAAAAATGCCAGGTAGCTCTTGCAGGACATTTTTAAAAAATGTCCATTTTATTAAAGAAGTCCCCAGCAATACTTTTGTGTTTTCCTACCCAAAAAAACCCAACCTTCCCTCATTTCAAGTTTTGAATAAAATTAGAAACAATCTTTTAAAAAGCCATACTTCTCTCTCTTTTTCTTCTTTATTACTTATAAGTAAAATGTATTTTCTGAAAAGCATTTGGTTTTCTGTAGGAAAAAAAACAACTAAAAATGTCAATGAAAAATGTTTCACGGACAACTTTCCTTTGCTTAAAGAGAAGTTACTTTTAATTGAAAAATGTTGTTCAATTGAAAAGTTCTGTTAGGATGACAGAACTTTTAACCGCATTCACCTACAGGTCTCCCCAGAGACCGACACGTCCCGAGATCACCCATCCCAAGTAACCTGGTTCTTTGTGAACAGACAGGAGACATCGAAGATTCGAGGTTGGGCAGGTCACTTACCACCGTACAGCACGGTTATAAACATGTCTGGGAATAACCTAAGAAAAAGGCGAGAGAGAGACCCGTTGGCAGCTTTCTCACCATTGCATGCTGACCACGAGAAGCAACCACATCACTTGGCCAAGTGTCCCTTGCAAATGCCCACAGTTAGGTATTAGTTCCAACCCAGCTTTGCTTGACCCCTAAGATCTTCCCACTCTGGCCTCTGCTAAAACGCCCCGCCAAGGTGTTGCTTAGTGGCTCTGCTCTGCCAACACGAGCCACAAGTGCCATTTGGCACCATCTTCTGGTTTTTGCCAGAGTGGGAGGGGAAAAGCTGGAACCACGGCACAGAGCAGGTGAGGAAAACAACAGCTCTCAAAGGGGTGGGTACCTGGAAATGTTCTCCGGCAGCAAGAGCCTCCAGATTCCTTCACATACGACCAAGGTGGCAGCTAAAAGTGAAGCTTAGGGTGCCTGTCCTGGCTGCCAGGCACCAACATGCCTTGTTTCTCCTTTGGATCATGCCACCCGTGGGCCTTGCAAACATTTGCTTAGGCTAGGAACCAGCAGGGTTGAGAAATGTCTTTATGTGGCTGAGCAAATATCAGCCCATTATTCATTCAAAAAACCTAACAGGGCTCTTGGCATCTTCTGTCAGGCACCTGCTTGCATGGGGAGGCATGGTGTTGGGCTGGCCCCTTGCCAGGATGCTTTGCTTTACAGTATCTCACCTGGGAGGGGACTGAGGATAAATGGGGAGAAACGGAGGAAGGAAGCATGTTGTTTCTAGCCCTGCTCAGAGGAAACCAGGCCCATTTCACAGCCAGACATTGGTTTGGCTTCATCATAGGCTGGCTTGAAGAATGGAAGTGACAGTTTCTTTTAAAAAAGCAATCAACTTTCAGTTCCAGGAATAGGCTTCCAAGGCAAAAGGTGTGCTCAGCCCCTCTCATTGCAGCCAGAATAACAGTAGGAATGGTGTAGGAGTGCTCTCTGCTGGGAGAGCTCACTGCTACACAAGTCTTGGCCTCTCCCAGGCTGGAAACACACTCCTGTGAAAGTCATTATTCCAATGTAAACTGCTTTGAGCTCCATGGAAGAAAAGGGCCAAGTTTTATGATCAATTAGTAATTTAGCGACAGGCACATTTCAGCACGTGAGGGATATCCCTAGCAGTATCTCAGAGATGTTTTGGGAATTTGTGGGCCCACCCTTCCTAGAACTGGCAGTGCCAGTTACTACTTGAGTGCATGGTATAAGCTATTAAAAACCAGACTGTAGAGGTCCAAAGCAGCTTTTATCCAGGAAGGAAAAATATCCTTTGCAATGCAATGTAGTTGCTTATAATGTACATGAAGGCTCTTCTGGATCTCACCAGTGGACAGTGGCATATAGGGTTTAACAGGGTTAAAAATCTTCCAGATTGCTTACTTATGAATGTCCTAAAGCAGTGGTTTTCAACCTGTGGTCCACAGACCACAGATTATGTCGAAGGGGTCCACAAAAGATAAGTATGATCAACCAAAAGTATATGAATACCCACACTTACAATTCAAAGGGGTCCGCACCTCCATTTGAAATTTCCAAAGGGGTCCACGCTTCCATTTAAAAGTGTTTAGGGGTCTGCAAATGAAACAAGGTTGAAAACCACTGTCCTAAAGCATCCTGTTGGAACTCCAGGATGCAACTATCAGCGTGTATTTGAGCATGTGTGACTATGCCCGCATACTTGCATACTTAGGGTTTTAAAAATAGTATTCCACAGCCTCTGCTTGTAATTGCCTGCACATACATGCTCCATAACTCACATCAGGCATGTATAAGTTTGTGTTGGAGTCTGTTTATGCCCATGTATGTACTGATATGTCTCTGTATGTTATTACGTGTTGGACTGTCCCATGGATATTAGGTATGCATGTGTGCACAGAGGTGTTGTTCACTCCAGGAACGACTGAACTTGTTTGGTTGGATGCTTTTAGCTGAAGGGGATGCAGGACTTATGGAGATGACAAGCTGGTGGCCACTGTAGTCTGCTGAAGATGAAACAGTTCAGATTCTGTGTCACTAATCCGCTGAGCAATGCAGCGCCTTTTAATTTCCAGCAACAGGGCCTGGTCTCTCTTTGTGGCCCAGGTTTCCAGCAGCCTTGTGTAGTGCTGTGTTATCTCCCCAGGGGTGTCCTGTGGCTTCTGCTGTAAAATAAATGAATGGCACAAACTCAACAGCTTAGCCCCAATGAGCAGCTATATCCACGCTCTAGCAGCCCTGGCCTAGTGGGTAAGCCACAGGACCGGGCACAAAGGCTTCTAGTCCCAGTTCTGCCACTGACCTGCTAGGATTTTGAGCAAGAAACAAACTGTCAGTCACTTGTTTGTAAGGCAAGGGTAATGATACACACTTTTACAATGCACACTACAGTGTAGGGTGCCCTCACCATGCAGTGGTTATTTTCCTCCATTCGCAGGGAACGTATCCTATCACCGCACTGATTTTTTTGTTCCCTAATTTCTAAAATCTAGGTGATGCCTATTAATGACTCGCCAGCACCTCAAGGAAAAATCTTCTACTTAGAAGTCATTCTCCTAATTTGCATATTGCCATTTATTACTGTGCAATATTTACATATTTGTATGAAAAAGAATGGGGCTGCCTAATCTACTGTTCATTTCCCACCCAAAGTCATAAATCTTGGTTTTTTCACAGTCTGCCTCTGCAGCAGTTGGTTGTGATGAAACAACAGAAGCTGTCACAAATAAGTCCTTAAGAAACAGACATGCCGGGTTCATGCAACTACCTGGTGCAACAAAGCATTAAGGAAATGTAAGACAGAAGTGGGACAGGTTCACAATGGCATAGCTTCTCAAAATTTTCTAAAAGGCTCTTGACAGCTGCGAAATCTGTGGTTCCATGTAGGGTTTAGGTTGTGATTAATTAAACACTCATCACTTTTATAGCGACAGGGAAGATTACAAAAGCTTCCTCCATGTCGTAATGAACCGGGCCTGATTGCCACCTTGAAGTAAATTATCCCCCCATGTGATAGACAGGTCTGAAACCAAGTAACACAAAATGTATGTGATTTGTTCAGGACCACGCATTGAACAGGAACAGAAACTAGAAGTGAAGAATCCTGACTGCCAGTTCCCTTCTCCAACCCCTAGATTATATGTCCTCCATGTTATAGGCACTGCTGATTTGATGGAGAAACAAGTAGCAGTAGGCTTAAAGTGCTGCCATAGCTGTGATGGTCCAGGAAATGCATGAGAGGATGGGGTTGTTGTGATCTCTTTTACTGAACCAACTGTATAGTTGGGAGAGACGTTTGCCAAGCAGGAGTCATGTGAGCCTAGGAAGCGCTTGGCTTCTGATACTGGCTATAAAGTTCAAAGAACTGGGTCTCCTCTCTGTGCTTCAGAAGAGATCTGGCTTGGCTGGATGAGTCTGCAAATGGCTGACTTGCACTTGCCATCTTTACTCTGTGGATAGACTCCTGGCATGCACCGTAATACAATGGCATTTATATCATCATATAATGTTACATGGCAGGGACATATCCCTAGATGCAAATTACACAACATAAGACTTATCCTGGAGGGGAAAAAAAGGTCAACGGTTGTCAGATGAAATGAACTCCTGATACTGGAGCTGGTGGGTCTGCAATGTTGGGTATAACTGGCTCAGGTCATTGCATCTTCCCTGGCCTACAACATTCATCTCGCCTCACCTTTTGCAGTGCAAGAGGCTGAATCACAAGGGCCATCACTCCATTTGTCATGCACGCCTCTTTGAGGTTTGGCCAATAGCCCAATGGAAAACAAGACGGTTCATACCGTAAGCAACTCCTCTTGGGCTCTGAGCTCCTGGTCCAGCAGTTCCCCCTCCTTCTGGCTTGCCAAAGCCTGCACTGTAAGCCGTAAAAACTCCTCATTCAGCTCATCCAACATGTCCTCCAGCTTTGCAACCTGCAACTGAACCCAGTCTAATGAGGCCTTTCAGTCAAAGAGCCCAACAGTGAGGAGCCAGGTCAGATAACACTCAGCAGAACTGACCCTGGATCCTTCCCATGTTGCTTGGGGGAAACAGGCGGCTCCTGGATGAAGAGGTAGAAGAAAACACAACCAAGGAGTGCCAGCTGTTGAGCTCACAGGACCAAGTGTTAATGCAGGCTTTCTTGGCAGCAGTCACTGCTGGGGAAAGTTATGTGTGCTAACTGTGTGCAAGGTGCTGGGTGCTATTGTAACATCAAGATGCAATAGTATCAGAGCAATGGCAGTGAGCGGATGCCCCCTGGACTTGGACGCTCTGCAGTGACCTCCTGTTCTCTTCCAACAGGTGAGCGATCAGTCAGAGGGGCTGTCATACTGAGAGGAGCAACGGTTTTCAAAAATAACTAGAGATTTTGGGTGCCCAGCCTGAGACGGTTTCAAGGGCCCTTATCTCTACAGGGGGCATGCTCAGCACTTCCTGAAATTCAGGACCCTTTAAGGTATCTGAAATCAGGCACCGCAAATTTGAGACCTGCCAACATTCAGTATGGAGACAGGAGGAAAAAGGTAAGATCAAAGGCTTCTTAAATATTCTTCTTAATATAATATAATATCAGCTTCTTAAATACACATTGCTCTGAATTTTCCCTCCCTTCTGCTGGATTACTCAGAAGTCATTCCATTGAAATGGATGGAGTAACACGTAGGAAGGACTGATACGAGCCAAACAGGATTTGACCGACTGACTTACCTGAACATGAGGGGAATCAGCATTCTTCTTGCCTGTGTTTTCACACCATTTCCCGGCTTCTTCTCTCCCCAGATTTTCAACAGAATCCAGGATCTCTGCCTGCAGCTGGAAGCGTTGGTAATGTTGCAACCTAGATGCATCAGACATGACATAATCACACTGGGCCTTTCCAGAATGAACCTCCTTTGCTCACAGCCCAGATTCAACAAGAGTCTTTGGCTTAGGCCCTTCCTTCCCCTGCAGTGAAAAGGGAGCGGGATGAGGAGGAGAAGGAGGGGGAAGAGAAGAGAGTGAACTGATATACTTGCTATTGCACCCCACACCTGGATATTAAGGTTTCTAACTGGAGCTTCAAACACATCTGAAGAATTTCTCCAACTTGACCGGAGCCACTGCCCAGCACTGAATGCAGCACGGAGGGAGACACTTATGACCAGCTTTAGAAGTTTAATTGTAGAAGGAGATCATCTCCAGATTAGACCCGGTAAAAAATATCCAGCCAGAATTGTTATTATTAACAAAAAATGTGTCTTTCAAGAAAATATTTTAAAGGGAAAAAAAACCAAACAATTTTCAGAGGAAAGAGCTATGCTTTTTGGAGAAATATTGCGATAGCTGCTATAAACAAAATGTTTTTTAGTTTTTTAACCTGATTTTTTTTTTTTTTTTGTGCAGAACTAAACCTGAGTTTATTCCTGTCATTTTCTTCCACAGAGGGAGTCAGTTATTGATCAGCTTTGGTCTACATACACATCTCTGATTTTTTTTTTCCAACCATAATTGGGCACCAGATGTTATACAAGACTAAAGAACAGAACCAGTGATAGTCCTTGATGACTTAAGCTAAATTCCTGGGTGCTCAAAAACTGGGGACCGGATTGGGGATCCTGTATAAATTAGGGACATATTCTTCTTTCAAATATTTTGGGTGAGCAAAACTCCCAACAAGTTCTATGAGAATCTGAGCCCATGTTTATGAACATATAGCTTTGGCAGAGCACGAGCTGACTATATTATAGATGATTTTCTCCAGGATAAAATCACAGTGATTAACAAACCTATTTGATATCTAGAGTGCTCCCATTCCTTCCTCCCTGGGGGTGGGGGGTGCATTTGAGTTATTTTGGGTATCTTTCAAAGCTCTGGTCCGTCTTAGGATCCCATGATAGTTGAACATTTATACAGAGTGAGGGGAGGAACCAGAAACAGGCAACATGAATATATCACTTTGAGACCTATCTAATGGAAAGTCTGTCCTGTGATGTAGCCTAAATTCTCCTTAACTCATTTTCATCTGAACACTCCTTTGACTTCCTCCTATCATATTTCTCCTCCTGCCTAGGCATGTGTCACATTATTCTCTAGTTATACTACACACATCTACCACAACCTACTAGTTGTTCTTGAATAAATCACTCCAGAAATCCTAGCATACTGTCAGTATGGAGAACGCGTGTGGTCAGAGTGATGGAGAAGGAACAGCCACATCCTTCAACTTCCTTGCGATCATCTTGACTTAACATCAGTTTTAATATGCCGCTTTACAAGTAGCCTAAAATTAAAACTCACTTCTCACAGGGAAAGAAGCAAGTGGTATTAACCTAGTCTTTTACAAATGGGGAAACTGAGGCACAGGACAGGATAAGTGAGTTGCCTGAGAATGAGAGCCCTACACTGTCCAGATGACACAACTGCTCCAGTCTCATTACAAAGCTGTTTCTGGATCCT